AGAAGAGGTTCCACAAATCTCCAGTGCCGTTTAGAACCAGTGCCAGCTCCCTCCCCCCGCCCGTCTGCATATCATCAAGATGAAGAGCGAGAGGAGGAATTCTGGGAGTTGAAGGCCACAAGTCTTAAAGCTGTCAAGTTACAAGACCCTTGCACCCTAACCCTTTAAAACCCCAGGGGTGTTTAAACTTGACAGCTTTAAGACTTGTGGACTTCAACTCCCAGAATTCCTCCTCTCGCTCTTCATCTTGATGATATGCAGACGGGCGGGGGGAGGGAGCTGGAACCGGTTCTAAACGGCACTGGAGATTTGTGGAACCTCTTCTATAGAAGAGCTTAGAACTGGCAGGAACCCTCCCCTCCCCATTTTACAACCTTTCTTGCCACGTTGTTAAGTGAATCATTGCAGTTTGCCAACTTAGTAACATGGTTAACAGAATAACAAGAACAACAGAGTTGGAAGGGACCTTGGAGGTCTTCTAGTCCAACCCTCTGCTCAAGCAGGAGATTCTAAAACATTTCGGACAAATGGTCGTTAAGTGAATCTGGCTTCTTCATTGACTTGGCATGTCAGAAGGTCACAATGACCTCTGGACACCATAACCGTCGTAAATACATGCCAGCTGTTAAGAATCTTGTAGGAAGAACTTATAAATTCATATAACTGAGTTAGAAATATTGCACCAGAAGGCATATGTTAACCAACCCAAAATCTCCCAACAAAGTTAATGATTAACAGTCTCAAAGTCCTTTAAACTCTCAACAAAAAAATAGAATTAAACTCTTATTTCATGTTTCAATGTGGAAACCTCTTCTGGACTTTATGCTTGGGGTGGAAGAAAATATGAAACTTTGATTTGGGGTTTTATGGATTAAATGGATTTGTTGTTATAGAAATGGCCAGTTTAAATTTATTATGTAAAAGTTAAAAGTTGTGGTTGGATGTTAAAGCTAATTCTACTTCATCAAAAGAATGCCTTTTCTTTCTTTTCCTCCCTTCTTCTCTCCGTTTTCCCCTTCCTCTTCCCTTTCTCTATTTCTCTCCTTTTTGCTTTTTTTTTTGTATATTATGTCATTAATAAAGTTGTTTTAAACAGAAAAATAAATAAAATAAAATAAAATAATTAAACACTTACCGGTATTTCATGTTCCTATCCGGAAACCTCTTCTGGACTTTATGCTTGAGGTGGGGAAAAAAATATATGAAACTTTGATTTGGGGTCTTACGGATTAGATAGATGTGTCGTTATAGAAATGGCTAGTTTAAACTACGTATTACGTAAAAGTAAAAAGTTGATGTTAATGATTTATTCCACCAAACCAATGGGAGCCAAAAATCAATTCCTCCTCTTTCTTCCCCGCCCTTTCCCCAACACTTTTCCCTTCCCTTTGTATTTTTTTTTGTATGTTAATTTTTTTGGGGGGGTATGTTTTGTATGATAAGCTAGCTGATAACCCAGCATTGCCCAGGTATTTATTGATAGGGGCAAATTTTTCTGACCAAACATAATTTCTAAGGTTGGATTTTCCCCCTTACTCGAGGGAGCCCCCTTGTGGAGTACTGTGAAGCCGTTACCATTCCACTGCGCTGCACAGTAGAAGCCATTTTACGACAGTACAGTAGAACCCATTTTAAGGCACAACAGGCTGTAGCTTAACAGAACATATACCACAAGGGGCACTAGGGCTGTCTTACCCCCACATTGTTTGTTTCCAAGTCTGTGTACCAAGTTTGGTTGAAATTGATCAAGGCGTTCCAGACACCCTGGCCTGGCTGATAAGGAGTCAAGCTCTGTAGCTGAATGGTTAACACATCTGCCTAAGAGGCAATAGAGCACAGGTTCG